TGAGGGGGAGCTGGAATTGGGGCTGGGGGGGAGCTGGAATTGGGGCTGGAGGGGGAGCTGGAATTGGGGCTGGGAGGGAGCTGGAATTGGGGCTGAGGGGACTTGAACTGGGGAGGCTCTGAATTGGGGCTGGGGGGGAATGGAATTGTGGCTTGGAGAGGCTCGAATTGGGGCTGAGGGTCTTGGCCAGGGGCTGGGGGGAGGAGGGGGAAGGCAGGGAAGGGGTGAGGGTCTAGCTTAGGCAGGAGCAGAGCTTTGGGGAGGACATTTGTGGCAGGGGAGGGATGGATGGGATGTCCCCAGGGCTCAGGGGGAGCCCAGTCCTGTTTGATGTCCCTGTCACTGCTCTGGGTGGGGGGATCCAGGGCACCCTCATGGATAACACCAGGTTGGGTGGGATGTGGATCTGCTGGAAGGCTCCACAGAGGGATCTGGGCAGGCTGGATCCATGGGATCCATGGGCCAAAGCCAACGGGGTGAGGGTCAAAAGGACCAGGTCCTGGGTGACAACAACCCCTTGGAATCTCCAGGCTGGGGCTGGGAAGGAACCTGGGGGTGCTGGTGACAGAGGCTGGACGTGAGCCCAGGTGGCCAAGAAGTCCAAGGGCAGCTGGCTTGGATCCCAAATAGTGTGGGATCTGGAGCAGGGCAGGGATTGTCCCCCTGTGCTGGCCCTGCTGAGGCACCACCTGGAGCTGTGGGTCCAGTTCTGGGCCCTCAGGACAAGACCTGGAGGGGCTGGAGCGTGTGCAGGGAAGGGAAGGGAGCTGGGAATGGAGCTGGGAAGGGTCTGGAGCAGCAGGAGCAGCTGAGGGAGCTGGGGGGGCTCAACCTGGAGAAAAGGAGGCTCAGGGAGGACCTTCTGGCTCTGCAACCCCCTGACAGGAGGGGGGAGAAGGGCGGAATCAGTCTCTTCTCCCAGAGAACAAGGGACAGGAGGAGAGGGAACGTCCTCCAGCTGTGCCAGGGGAGGGTCTGGTTGGACATCAGGAGGAATTTCTCCCTGGAAAGGGTGGTCAGGCCTTGGCAGGGGCTGCCCAGGGAGGTTTGGAGTGCCCATCCCTGGAGGTGTCCCAGGAAGGCCTGGATGTGGCACTCAGTGCTCTGGGCTGGGGGACAAGGGGGGCATTGGGCACAGGGGGGGACTCTGTGACCTTGGAGGGCTTTTCCAACCTCTGGGATTCCATGAGGAGAATGGAGGGTTCTGGAGGAGACAACAGGGCTTTGGGTGACTGACCTACAGCTTCCCCTGGTAGGATTGGGATAAAATGAGGTGTTTTCTGGTAGTAGGAAAAGGATCCAGGGAAAGATCCTTCCAGGACCTGAAAGGATCCCTCAATAAACACAGAGAGGGACTTTTTACAAGAGCATGGAGGGACAGGACACAGGGAATGGCTTCAAACTGCCAGAGGGCAGGGATAGATGGGATATTGGGAAGGAATTCCTGGCTGGGAGAGTGGGGAGGGACTGGAATGGATTTCCCAGAGAAGCTGTGGCTGCCTCTGGATCCCTGGAAGTGTCCAAGGCCAGGTTGGAGCAACCTGGGATGGTGAAAGGTGTCCCTGCCCGTGTCAGGGTTGGCACTGGATGATCCTTAAGATCCCTTCCAGCCCAAAATATCCTGGAATTCTGTGCTGTAGCTGGTGACTGTGTTGTGTTTGAGATGAGGAGGAAGAGAAGGACTTTGTAGTGGGGAAAAAGGAAAAGGAAGGGCTGGAAATCCTTTCCAGGATGGAGAAATTCTGGCTTGGGGTAAGGAAATATCTGGAGAGGGTTGGGATTGGCACTGGAGGAGAGGGAGGAAACAAGGGGGTCACTCCTGAGCACTTTGTGTCTTGTAGCATCTTGTGGAGAATCCCAGAGTTAAAAACCTCCTGGAAGTGTGTCCTGGTTAAAAAAAAAATGGAAGATCCACTTGTTAGACCTTGGAAACATCTTTATTGAGGGTTGTTGGGCTCCCAGGAGCTTCAAACTCCTCATTTCCCAGCTGGCAAATTGGGAATAAACCACCCTGTGAAAACTGCAGCCGGGAGGGAGGAGAGAAAATAGATAAAACAGGAGATAAAAATAAACCCCAAACCCCATAAAATACGGGATTATGTGCAGGAAGGGGCAGGAGAGAAGAATCCAGGACCGGAATTTTGGTGGAAACCTGGCAAAGGGAAGGTGGCAGCTCCTCATCCTGGTGTTTGGAGCAGCTCCTGGGATAATTAGTAACACTCCCAATTAATTGGGGAGCTCACACAGGGTGAGTCACCTCCTTTTTATGGAAGCACAGTTGAGTCTCCTGGAAAGAATTCCCACATTAGGATGACTCTGCAGGAAATCCAATCCCTGCTCCCTGTTCCCAGTATCCCAGGTGCTGCTCCCAGTGGAGCTGTGGAAGGAACTGCAGGTTTTTGGGGGCAAAAAGTCAAATTATTTGTTAAAAAAATTGTGATTTCCAGATCCCTAAATCCCTACTTAGGCTGACACTAATTCCACCTCTGAATTCCACACAATCTGCTCCCTCAAGGAACTCTCTGGGAATCCTGAAGCCAAGTCCTTTTCCAGGGATCCTTGGGGGAATTCCTACAGCACCCACTGAGATCTCCCAAGTTGCTGCATCATTATTATCCCTTAAAAACTCCAGTTCCAAGGATATTTTGAATTAAATACTCCAAATTCAATATTCCCGAGACAAGGACTAATCACAGTTTGTTATATCTCACAAAACCCCTGGAATTTGGGTGCCAAACCTTATTTTCATTATTAATTGTAGAGATGATATGGGAAAAAAAAAGACCATAAATTTACCAAGAAATTGGAGTTTGAAGTGAAAATTCCCAATAAATCCACACAGTCCTGGATTTTTATATATAATAAACCCACTGTGCTGGATTTTTATATATAATAAACCCACTGTGCTGGATTTATTGTATATATATAGAACATAAAAATATAAATCTATTGTACTGGGGGCAAAGAGAGGGAGAAAAAGCCCCCAGAAATGGGATTTAAATGAGATTCCAGCCAAACAAAACAAAGTCTGGGAAATATTATTTATTTCTCTATCATTTCATGGCCTGTTTAAAACCCCTGACCCTTGAAATTTAAATTTCTTCTCAGAGAGAGAGAAGAAAAGGAAAAAAGAAACTTTCAGATGTGATGTCGATGAAAATTAAAATATTGGAGGGTGAAAAAAAGCTGGAAAAATGAATGGATTAAATTCCCAAAGAGGTTTTTTGCTTGGAAAATTTGCCCTCGGGCACTTTTAGGAGCTGAGTGAGGTCTCAGGTGAGTCAAAAGTCACAAGACCTGAGGTATGAAAACCTAATAAATACCCTGGGCAGGGACTGCTCTGCTTTTCCTGGACTCAGAGCACTTGTTTTCCCTCAGTATTCAATATCCATCCGCTGTTCTTTATGGATTTGGAATTTTGGGAACAGCAACAGTGGTATTTTTGAGGTAACTTCGAGCTGGTTTGGATTTGAAGAGAAAGAAACGCTCGGGGAATAAATTTTGCCTCTAAAAAGCAGCCCCAAAAGGCTCCCTGAGAATTCCATGGCTGCTCATCCAGGTAGGACTTTGGGATATGGATTAGGATGATGCTGTTTTATGGCACAGGTTGTGAGGCTGCATTAAATATCAACATTTTCACAGTTTTGAGAGAAAACTGTTGTCTTGCTGAGGGTTTTGTAGGGCTGGGGCGGCTCTTGGTGTTTGAAAATGGGCTCCCTGAGAATTCCAGGGCTGCACATCCAGGGATATGGATTAGGATGATCCTGTTTTATGGCACAGGTTGGGAGGCTGCATTAAATAATAATATTTTCACAGTTTTGAGAGAAAAATATTGTCTTGCTGAGGAGCTGGGGGTGATTTTGTAGGGCTGGGGTGTGAAAATGGACTCACTGAGAATTCCAGGGCTCCACAATCCAGGTAGGACTTTGGGATATGGATTAGGATGATCCTGTTTTATGGCACGGGTTGTGTGAGTGCATTAAATATCAATATTTTCCCAGTTTTGAGTGCAAAATGTTGTCTTGCTGAGGATTTGGTGGTTTTGTAGGGTGAGGGTGACTCCTAGGGTGTGAAAATGGGCTCCCTGAGAATTCCAGGGCTGCATTTCCAGGGAAAACATTGGGAGATGGATTAGGATGATCCTGTTTTATGGCACAGGTTGTGTGATTGCATTAAATATCAATATTTTCACAGTCTTGGGGGCAAAATGTTGTCTTGCTGAGGGTTTTGTAGGGCTGGGGCGGCTCTTGGGGTTTGAAAATGTGCTCCCTGAGAATTCCATGGCTCCACATCCGGGTAGGACTTTGGGATATGGATTAGGATGATGCTGTTTAATGGCACAGGTTGTGAGGCTGTGTAAAATATCGATATTTTTTCAATTTTGAGAGAAAAATGTTGTCTTGCTGAGGGTTTTGTAGGGCTGAGGCAGCTCTTGGGGTTTGAAAATGTGCTCCCTGAGAATTCCATGGCTGCACATCCAGGGAAGGACTTTAGGATATGGATTAGGATGATGCTGTTTTATGGCACAGGTTGGGAGGCTGCATTAAATATCAATATTTTCACAGTTTTGAGAGCAAAATGTTGTCTTGCTGAGGAGCTGGGAGTGATTTTGTAGGGCTGGGGTGTGAAAATGGGCTCCCTGAGAATTCCAGGGCTGCACATCCA